AAGGGATATGGAAGTCCGATAAATAGATGAGAGTAGATTTTTTTTAGTTGAATATCTGATTGTAACTATATACATTCCATTTGAAAATTTATAGGTCTTGTATTTATATCAAGTGAAAATGGTCTTGCAAATGTATATTGATAATTTTTTTATTGGCACTCTTGAAACTCCAAGCTGTGTGGTGTGGTTGACACACCCAAGGAATGGGATGCCATCTAAAGAGACAGGCTGAATGGTGGTCCCAGGAGAATCTCATGAGGTTCAACAAAGCTAAGTACAAGGTGGTTACACCTGAGTCGAGGCAAACCTATCAGTACAAACTGGGGGATGGAAGAATTAAGCATAGCCCTGCTGAAAAGGACTTCAAAGTACTAGTGGATGGCATGCTGGACATGAGCCAGCAGTGTACCTTTGCAGCTCAGAAAACAAACTGTATCTTGGGCTGCATCCCAAACAGTCTGGCCAGCAGGTTGAGGGAGGTGATCCTGCCCCTCTGTGCTGGTGAGACCTCACCTGGAGTACTGCATCCAGAGGTGGAGTCCTTAGCAGAGGAGGGACTTAGACCTGTTGGAGCCTGTCCACAGGAGGGCCACAAAAAATGATCCAAGGGATGGAACACCTCTCCTATGAGGACAGGCTGAAAGAGCTGGGGCTGTTCATCCTGCAGAAGAGAACACTCCGGAGAGACCTGAGAATGACTTCTCAGTGTCTGAAGAGAGGCTGTGAAGAGGAAGGGGACAAACTCTTTAGCAGGGTCGGTGGGACAGGACAAGGGGTTTCAAACTTAGAGAGGGAAGATTTAGATTGGATATAAGGAAAAAGTCTTTTACTGTGAAGGTGGTAAGGCACTGGAAGCTCTGTTCCTGAGACATTGAAGGCCAGGTTGCAGGGAGCTCTGAGCAGCCTGATCTGGCTGTTGATGTCCCTGTTCACTGCAGAGGAGTTGGACTAGATGACCTCTAAAGGTCCCTTCCAATTCTAAGGATTATATGATTCTATTTTCAAATTTCTTTATCAAAACGAAAAGGGTGACTGCATTTTTGTTGCTGTTCAGAGCCACAAAAGGGATGGCTGCATTTTTGTTGCTGTTTAGAGCCTTGTGTTTAGCAGTGTATCAAGATGCACACAGTTATGTGCCATCACTTGAGTCAGTACTGCCAGCTGTGCTGGGCCATACACAGCCTATGGGCCACAGGTTGAACATGCCTGGACTGGATGAAGTTGGATGTAATTTCCAACCTTAGTGATTCTGTGATTTTTACCTTGTCTAGCAGAGAAGGAAAAGGGGGCTGACTAAACTGTTAAAAATTCTGAAAATGTGTGTGATATTATTACTTTTACTCAAAATCTTGCTGGCTGCAGAGCTTTTTCCACAGTATGAGATATGAATAATCATCTCCTACAGCTTTTTATGTGTACAACATCAAAGGTGCTTTTGGCAATAGGGAGTGTGTTTATTCATCTGGAGTGAAACTAACTGGATTTAAAACTGTGTGAAGAATTGGAGAAACTCATGGATGAGGTTGGCAAGGATGTTACAGTATCTGCCCTCATTGTGAAGACCCTTACAGTGTGAGGAGAATGTAAGCCTTGTGGAAAGAGCATGGCCTGCTGAGAAGTGATCAAATCCTTTAGATGTTATTCAGCTTCCAGCAGATGCCAGTATACCCTTGCACTGAGAATAAGTCAGGACTGTTTAAGGTTTGAGGAGGCAGGTAGTTGTAGTTGGAAACTGTGTTAGGCAGATAGCTGTGAGAGCTGCTTGGAAGCTTGCCTGCTGCAAAGGAAGTACACTTAATCAGATGTCTAAGTAGCTTATGTATGGAGGGGGAACTTAGCACTCATGTACTGTATTGGTGCTGATGACACAGGAAAGATGAGCACCTGTGAGACTGAACTCTTGCTAATACTCAGGAATCTATCTGACTTATGATAGTCTTCATGATAGTAATTGAAGTACTACTTCTGTTGCTGAGTCCTGGCAGGCAGGCAAAGCTCTGATTTTGTTAGGCATGAATGAAATTGTATCTTAGAGAGGAGAGATTAAGGCAGATGGTTGTTAATTTGAACGGGAAGTCTGAAAACCTTGGTTGATCACAGATCACAGGCACATTATCTCTTGGTATTTAAGTTGATTAAATGATCAGTATTTTGAGAAAAGACCTGGTTTCAAAAAAA